TAGACTACTGTAACGCGCTCTACGTGGGGCTCCCTTTGAAGCTGATGTGGAAACTTCAGGTGGTGTAGAACGCGGCGGCCAGACTCCTTACTGGAGTGAGAAAATGCCAACATATCTCTCCTACTCTGGCCATGCTGCACTGGCTGCCCATCCGTTTCCACATTGACTTCAAAATGTTAATGCTTACACATAAGGCCCTAAACGGTTTAGGACCCTAATACTTGGCGGAACGCCTGCTCCTACCTAGATCTACTCGGATCACCTGCATGAGCCAGGAGGTGAGGCTGAGGAGCCTGACGCTGAGGGAGGCCCAGATGGAAAGGACACGAAACCGGGCCTTCTCGGCAGTGGCTTCTCACCTCTGGAATAACCTTCTTCTGGTTAGTCCTGTGGCCCCTACGCTGGGCACTTTTAAGAGTCAACTAAAAACATGGTTGTATGTTCAGGCCTTCCCTCCTGTCAATATTTAATTCTTTATTTTTTCTTTCATTTATTATTTGTTTTATTATTGTATGTGTTATGGACTGTTTGTAAAATTCTTATGTTTTTGTATACACCTTATTGGAAGCTGCCCAGAGTGGTCGACCAGATCAGATGGGCGGGATATAAATCAAATAAATAAATAAATAAATAATAACTGAAATTATTCATGGTCTGATGTCCTATTTCTTTAATAACAAACCTGTGTCATTTTGTCATTATCTGTATCATCACCTCTTCATGGGGACATGTATAAATAGGAGAATAATAATAGTCTTGCTCTAATGTCACAGAAAGTAGACTTGATCCACAAAAGCTCACAATGAACTACAGCAATTAATCTTTAAATTTAATTATCATTTTTGTTTTGCTTTATTCTGGCTTTTTTGCCTGATATACTATCACAAGGTACTTACCCTTAGTACTAGTTTCTTGTATTTTTCAGACAAATCTACTTTCACACATCTCCCCTGGAACCAGAGAGCCTTGTTGGAACAGTACTCCATCATTGCTTCAGCACCCTCTCTGGTATCCAATTCTATGAAAGCCTAAAGAAAAATTAAGGATATTTTGTTTTATAATTTTTAATACAGTTCCCTTGCTCCATCCAATCAATGATGAACTTCTTAACGAGACCAGAAAAGCCTAGTTGATTAACTCGCCCTAACAAGTTTGAACTAGCTTTAGAAGTTTAAGTCATGAGAGGAAAATGTGATCTAATTGATGTCACTACTATCTGTGCACATTCAAAAACATATCCTCCCAAATTTTACAAAACCTCTGGGGACAAGGGAATAAAAAGAAGTTTCAGATGTTTGACAATTTCAAGAAAACAAAATGTGAATATACTTGTGCTTGCTATATAAACTCTACCACTAAAACATGGTTAGACCATCTGAAAGCTGTATTTTCTAAGTTCCCCCAAAAACTGAATTAAGGCAGTGGATTTTATCACATGTATCAAATGGCATCATTGTGCTAGTGCAAGATATGTTGGAAAAGCAGTTGTGCTTTTTCAAATTTAGTGTAAGCACAGCAAACGACAATTTAGCTCCTGTGGGTTATGTTACTCCTTGCACCAGCAGCTATGCAATAATTCTACCCGAATTACTTGGCACAGCCAGGCGGGTCAGTTGAGAGGCCCGGAAAGAACCAAAAACTGGGTCTTCTCGGCAGTGGCCCCTTGACTATGGAATAGCCTTCCAAACACTCGCTGGGTGTTTTTAAGAGCCATTTAAAAACTTGGCTCTTCAGGCAGGTCTTCCCTCCTGTCAATTCTTGAATTCTATCTTTCTGTTCTTTCATTCCCCACCTTGATCATACCATATTATTGTTTAAATGTTTTTATGATTATGAACGTTGTTTATTTCGACTGTGATGTTTTATTGTCATTTAGTGATATTTTATGATTTTGTAAGCCTCCCCGAGTAGACGCTGTCTAGAGGGACGGGGTATAAATCGAATGAATGAATAAATAAATACATTCTATCAGTGTTATACATAGGGCTTGAAAAATGCACTTGTCCACTTGTCTGTGACGAGTGAAACATGCTGCTCGATGAGTTACAGCTCCCTCCCGGCCTGCTTCTCCTCCACCTCTTTCTCTAATCCTGCAGTCTTCCCCTCCTCCCTCCCCTTGCAAAAGGAAAACTGCCCTCTTCTCGCAAGAAGAGTTTGAGCGGCACATAGAGATATAGCTCTGCAGGAGAATGTAGAGTAGTCCCATGCCGGAGAATATGGAGATTCCCTGCTCCCAATTTCAAATGAACAAGCATACATCCTGGGATATGAGGGAACTGTGGTTCCTTAAGAGGCTGGGCGCTTTTGCTTTCAGTTTTATTTTTGCTGGAGACATTCAAAAGAAAGGCATTCAAAATACAAGCTTCATGACCCCACAGGCACGCAGGTAATAAAGCAACCCAAGTCTAAGGGTATAAATCAGTGGTTCCCAATCCCGATAAATTGCAAGGCTATAGTCCAGTCATGCTGACTAGTGAAATTTTTGAATGACTGGTGAGACATTCAAAAATTTTTCAAGCCCTGATTATACATATTTATATGATTTTTTCAATTCATTCTGCATATGCTTTTAAAGTATTTGTATGGTATTCTAAAAGTTTTTTCCATTACAACAGTTACCCATAATGACTTAGTGAATGCGTGTCCATTTCTGCAGTCCTGTGTAACAAAGGAAGTAAAGGTTATACCTATCCCCTTGCAACAAAATACAAAAGATCTGGACACGGACAGCAGACATTCATCTTTTCAAGAAAAAAATGTGTGAGCCTCATTAGGAACTTACTACTGGACATTTCTTTCAAAATGTTAAGCAAGCAGACTTTACTGAACAAGTCATAAATTTATACACAGTGCAAGCATTGTATACTTTACCTGACTCTTCATTCTCATCAAAATGTAGTTCTTTATTTTTCCATAGGGCTCAGCTAGTTTAAGTACAGCACTGTCAGAATAGCCTGAATGTGGCAAATTACTGAGATGGATCACACGACCAAGCTCTTGTTTCGGAGGATCAAATTTCTGGTCAGGTTTCCCTTCTGGTTTCTAACAGATTTAGAGAAGGCTTCATTAATGCATTATACTAAAAATTAAGCCTTAATGCCAGAAACTAGTGTTAAAAATGGATTGAACTCAATGCATGAAAATATAAGATAAAGGCTGCTGCACATACCTTAATCCTTTTATATTTCTGTGATAAATGGACTCTCACAGGTTTGCCAAACACTAAGGCTGGTGTTGCTGAATAATACTCTACTGCAGCTTGTGCATCTTCAGTATTAGACATTTCAATAAATGCCTGGAATTATATAAAGTAACTTAGTTATTCCAGAGGGACGACATTATGAAATATCTAATCAATGCAGAATCTTAGTTTGCATTATTATCAAAATCTACCAGAAATGTGTTTTAAAATGGTAAGTTGGTTTTAACCAAGAACAGACCATTAGTTTAATTTACACAAATACATTTTTTAGAAGTATTAACCTGGCATGTTCTAATTTCTCTTTGCAAGTATATAAACTAGGAAAAAACTTTCTGGCATCATGAACTTGAGGATTCTCCATATTCCAAGTAAAATAGGTTTTGAAGCCTTATACTATCCCCTTCCAGTTTTGGTTCCATCATTTCACACATAAAATTACTTCTGTTAAGCTACGAATTATTCAAGAAATTGTATGTCAAAAAATAATAAATCATAATGACATTAATAATGTGTCAATGTAGGAAAATGTCATGATATCACAAGATTGCAGTAATACTTACCTCATTAATTTTGTTCAAGATTAGGTGATTTGTGATCATTCCAAATGGTTCAACAAGCTGCAGCAGCTGATACCTCAGGTTTTTCCCTCTCTGGAAGTCCATAATGTGCACAACTCTGCTTGTTTCCTGTTAATGGTAAAAACAGTGCTCAATAATGAAACATATAAAGTACAGTAAAAATTAAAATGCATTGTTTTAGTACAGGATGTCTCATGCAATTAACTTAAGGGCAAGTCCCTGCCAACATTTTTAACAAGAACGTAAACCAGTGTAATCAGATTCATTTGAGGCAAACTAGGTAAAGAACAAGCAAACTGATTTGCTTGGAAGCAAATACAGCCGCAGAAGGAAATCCTACCCCCCCCCCATTTGGCACAATTCTGGTATGGCTCTTAAAGACTCGAGTACTCCTGTAACTAGATGTTGATAGGATGGCCCCAAATCTCTAAGAGCAATTCTCATATTGAGTATCCCACCACAAGCTGACACTCCCGTATCTACTTCAATACTAACCACTCTGCCCTTCTGCATGTGTCTTGGTCCTTGCATATTTCCATTTCCAGCCCCTTAACATACAAAAATGGGGAAAGGGGGAGAGAGAGAGAGAATATAGTTACATTAATTAGAGAGACTCTTGACACTACGTATATCACAGCATGAGTCTTTTAGAAACTATGGGAAAGAGTTAAGACTATTGACAATTTTTATTCTATACCTTGTAAGACAACAAATCTTTGTATGTTTTAGCTCCATATCCAAGGTCTGAGAGATCACAACTTCCAATGATCAGATCTCTCAAGTTTCATCCAGTCTTTGTCTCTAAAAATAGTTAATGGCTGCTTTCTATCTATCCAAGCAAATAACGTTGGGTTTCAAGTGATACCTGCACACCTGCCTCCTCTTCACTATCTGTAATCATGTTAGGTGCAAGTCTAGGGGCATAAATGAGAGAATGCCTGGCCAAATTTTTCAGACTTTTCCTCCTGAAAGCTCAGACCTTTGTGATACTATGGTTGGTCCTAGTAAAACCACTTTTGCTTTCTATTTCCATGGTCATTTCTAAATGAAACCTACAGATGACAAAAGCATGTGAATTTAATACAGTGGTGCCTCGCATAGCGACGATAATCGATGCAGCAAAAATTGTTGCAAAGCAATTTTGTCGCTATGCGTTATTAAAAAGCCCATAGGAAGGCATTGAAACCCCTTCAATGCCTTCCTATGGGCTTCAGACTCACCTTTAAGTGAAAATCCTCCATACGGCGGCCATTTTCGCTGCCTGGTAAGCGAGGAATCCGTCCCAGAAAACAGCGGATGGCCATTTTTTTTAACCTGGTGCCCATTTTGGAACCGCCAATCAGCTGTTAAAAAATCATCGCTTTGCGATGATCGGTAAGCAAAACAGGGTACCGATCACTGCAAAGCGATTTTTCCCCATAGGGAACATTGCAAAGCGATTGCAAAAAATTAACTGCTATGCGATTTCGTCGTTAAACGGGGCACCCGTTAAGCGAGGCACCACTGTGTTTACTTCAGGCAGCCTACGGAATATGAATGGTTTTGTTCATAATGCTTTAACAAGGGTAATGCAACAAGTACTTTAAATAACATCTTTTACCTAATTTTCATAAATTATTTAAATTAAATCCATACATTAAGAGGGTATTGTGGTATCTTAAAGAAGAACATATCTGGTGAACTTCTGTAGATTTCAGTCCATTGCAGCTTATGTCAATAAAACTTTTAGACGTTAAGTTTCCACAAGACTCTTTTGCTGATTTTTCTGGATTATACTACCATGGCTGGCCTGCCCACCAAATGTCTTTAAAGTCTTGTTACTCTAGATTCCCATGTTGCACCTTCCAGGTTTGAAAATGTTTACACAGCAAGACTGCACACTGATCAGCAAGACCTACTAGCCTTTGCAAGGTCCACTCAAATATGCACTTAATATCATTACCTCTTGACCCAATTGGTGGCCCTCCAAGATGAAATGGAGGTGGTGGTGGGCCCAAAATTCCTGGGGCTGGATTAGTTGATTGCAACATAAATGGATCCCCCCTAGGAAGAGCATACAGAAAAATTAAGCCATACCAACCTTTAAACAATATGGTCTTTTACATAAATTCCACTTAAATTTGTACACAGGTACTGAGGTGTCAAATTTATAGAAGAAGGACAATTAAAATAAATTCCACTGATCTCAGTTTACTTTAAAGGGCAGGTAATAGTGGTTAGTAGTAGGTCCCTATGGAATTTTGGGTTGTATTCACTGTTCTTATGTATTCAAACTGAAATGGTGGTGCAAGGCATACATGAAAGAGAGCATATGCAGGCATGAGGCAAATTAGAATCCGAAATGGCACACTAAGTCTGAGTCTAGAATAAGGTAATGCTTCAGCTCTCATCACACTGAAGCTAGGAGTCTTGTGGTGGATGGAGAAATTTATTAGGGTCATAGAGAAGGCACTCGGACTGAAATTCTTCACCTCCAAAAAGGTCATGAAAAAGGCAGAGAATTAAAAACGTTAAATTGCCTTAAGAAAGAAAGAAAAACACAAATCCATCTGCAGCTTGTTTCTTCTCTGCCCCAAACAACCTTCATGAAGCAAATAAGAACATTTCACCCTGCATTGTACTGCTGAGTTTCAAGGGTAGATGAGTAGCTTCCTACATACCTACAAAGGCCTAGGCCTCAACAGTCTAAATGGGAAATTCCTTAGCTAATCCCACAATGCAGCAGCTTCAGGCAATTACAAATTAAACTGGAAATACCTCCCCTTAATTCCTTATCTGTTACCAACTTGTTTCCACCTATCTGTTATATAATTTTACTCACAGTCCATGTCCAGAATCACTATCTGGGTTCCATTCCGGGTATCTTTAAAGGAAAAAAATTAGTAAGATCATTGTCTGCAACTGAAAAGTTATGCCGAGAAACATACTAAGCAGTTACATCTTCCATGTCAGTATTAAAATCTTAACACATAAATTAGCAGAAATAATTTTATAATTGTGATCCCAGGGCAAAACCTCAAAATAAAAATGTACTAGTACCTCAACACAGTCAATCTAGTAGTTATTTGTGGTATCCAGAATACCGTTTTCTTGAAACACACATATACCTGTAGTTAGGTTCCATGGATATGTGCAGGACAGTATAATCTACTAGGTATAGTAGAGCTCTTTTGATACAATATATAAGCTAAACACTAAGATTTGACTGTATCTCTAAGCTAACTTTTGAGTACTCCCCCACCACACAAAATGAAAATTTTAAAATATTAATATAGTAGTGTTAAATGGAAAGAAAGTCTGATTCCATCCATGATGTAAAACCATGGCCTAGAATTCTGACAACTGATTTGCAACAAGTTCAGGATCAAACAGATAAATTTTGTTACCACTAATCTATGAAATACATTGCCACAGGGCATTCTGCTTGCTGGCTGCTAACATAATGACTTTAAAGCACAAATGACTGTGATCAGCTGAGGCTATTTTTCATAAATTAAAATGTTTATCTTCCCAAATCCCCAGAAGGTCCCAATGCTGCCTTCAGATCTAATTTGTCAATGGGAAGCTGCTGGGAGCCAAGGGAAAGGACAGAGGAGCCTTTCATTTTTTTAAAAAAAGGTACCAGCAGGATTTTATGGGTGATGCCGACTTTTGGAAATTAGAGACGCCCTGTTCCACTGCCTGCTAGGGCTGTCCCGTGACAAAAGGGATTTCAAGGGAGCCTAGGGATCTTGGAAATAAAGAGACTGCTGCCAATGATACAATCTGCCTTACATAGGGTGACTTTCACTGCTGGACTTTAGCTAACACATTTCAACAGCAAAATATGCGTACAAGGAGTCACAAAGTTATTATAATTCCTAAACTACATTAATAGGAAAGTTTAAATTGTTTTAAAGCATAAATAATACGTAATAAAACAGTGGCCTGGAAGTACTGTACCTGATATGTCTTAAATAGTGCAGCTAGACTGGGCTATTTTTAAGTAGAAATAATGCCTTGGTTAAAAAAATTGAGCAGGGTGGAATCCATAATAAATTACAAGTTTTAACTTGACTCCTAAAAATATTCAAACCTGAAACACTGTGTTTCAAAACCATAATGCTATGTAATGTTAATATGTATCCCATTCCTAAATCCAGGTGTGTTATGTAAAAGCCAGAAGTGATGCTTGAAGCTTGTCTGTGTATTGTATACTCTGCCATAGATGTCATTACAAAAGTGGAAACAATTTCACAGATGTTTCAAACCAATGTAATTTGCCTTCAAAGCAGTCAGCTTGCAGATGTGTTTCACCAAAACACTGTAAGCTAATTTCCAAATTTCATAAATGGAACATTTGTGTTTTCAGAAAGGGCATACAGCAACTGTAATAAAAAAAGGAAAATTTTAAAATGCTCAAGTCCATACATTTCAAGGAGAAGTTGACAACGTCGGCTGTGTGTTGCTCCATTGATATGCTGGTTCCACTCCTACAGAAACAGTACAAAAATCAGAGTAATTAGGAGCAGAATGTTTTTGTTACTGGTTTTTTTTAAAATATAAACTCCAAACCTGGAGTTAGGTAAAAAGGTAATTTAGAAGTCAACTAGCTTTCCGACTGAAAAAACATAATGGAATATCTTTACCTTAAGCAATGTACTATGATCAAAAGATATTGACAGTATCAGTATCAGAACTTACTTGGAACCCAGGACGTGAAGAATTTTGTCATGGAAAAAGTTACGCAAACATTTACATAGCCATTATTATTTATTTATATGTTGTTTGTCATACTGGACTGTTCCCAATTGTACCTAAGTGCTAGTGAAAAACATTCCTAGAAGGCAAGTCAGACAACTGTTCCAATCATCCTACTACAACCCTCCATACAATTTCCTAGACTGCTTCATAGTCTCCCAACGCTCAAGAGAAGCTTCTGGAAAGCAAGAGATCTTGCAGAGGGTAAGGATTAGCAAAAACAAAGTGACTCATTTTGGATGAGGAAAAATATTCCACACTAACAAAAAGACACCGATGGATACAGCTCATTGCACATATGTTATGTATTCTAATAAAAGAGGGTCTTGGTGTAGTTAACACCTGAATTCTCTCTAGAAGGGTATACAGTGGTGCCTTGACTTACGAACACCTTGACCTACGAATGTTTTGAGTTACGAACAGCTCCGTTCACAAAATCTTGCTTTGACTTGTGAACGGAGCTTTGACTTACAAACAGAAAAAAGGCTGGGGAAAAGGGAAGGAAATTCAAATAGCTAACTGTAGGTGGCAACAAGGCTGCTTCTTTGTAGCTCTTTTCCCTGGGCAATTAGAGTGTGAGATCCGAGGAGGCTGCCTGCTAAGGTAAGGTGTTGCTTTATACTTCAAAAAACTGTTCTGGGTATTTTTGCAGCGTGATTTTTGGCTTGGGGGGGTGTTTCCATGCTATGATGGGTCTTGGGGTGTGTGTGTTTTTTTGGTTTCCCCATTTCCGATGGGGGGGGTTGGTTCCTTTTCGGAGTGTTTTTTCCCCCATTTCTGATGGGTCTTGGGGAATTTTTTTGTTTCCCTCCCATTTCCGACATGTCTTGGGGGGTCTGGTTGCTTTTGGGGGGGGGTTTCTCCCATTTCCGATGTGTCTTGCATGCTTTTTGCTTTGTTCTCTTTTCATTTCTGATCTGTTCCGTTTGTTTTTGCAATGGTTTGTGCTGGCTTGGTTTAAAATGTGTGAGTTTAATATGTGTTGGTTTAGCATGTGTTTTAGACTCCAAACTCTCTGTCTCCCTCATTGTTTTTTCTCTCTATGTCTCCCTCCTTTCCTGTCTTTTTTAAAAACCTAAATAATCTTAGGTTAAAAAAAAGAATAATCTCTCTATGGTCTCTTTTTGTGATGAGGAGTTCTGTGCTGGAAGAATGTTTGCTGATTGTTGGTGCAAGAAGGCTTTAAAATGCAGCTTAGACTCAGGTCTCTACCACCCCTCTGCCCCCCTAGTGGTAGAGTACAGATTAACCGGTTTTGCATTAGTTCCTATGGGAAATAATGGATAATCCCAATACGGATTAAGTTCTTAAATCAAGGCACCACTGTATTCTCCAATAGATTATTTGTTCTTCCTTATATTTACAGCAAAGATAGCCAGCTGACATCTTTTACTCTGGATCAGATTCAGCACACACAACTCTAACAAATAGTAGAGAAGTTTGGGTACTACTTTACTATTTCTGATCCTATCATCAACTTCTAGTAAACCAAGATAACCTTGATGCACCAAACCCCTTATAACTGCGGATATATCAATGATTATTTTTTTAAAAAGTTAAATCACAATTTAAATAAAACATTGATTTTTAAAAAATTTTAATTGTCAAAAAACACCCATTTTTAAAAATTTAAATCATGATTGAAATCAATTTGATCCACCCTAGTCCCTAGGCAAAATTATATTATATAAACTGAAGACCTATACTGACAGGAAATGCTAACTGTGTATATTACTAACAGTTTAAAAACACTTGTTTACTTTTGCTTAACATTAACTATGTTAATAAAAGTGCCAATAACCCTTGTCAGTAGGCAAGGCTGGCACTGGATGGTCCCCCAGGTTTCATCCATAGTTCAGGCATGGGTTGAACCACAAGAGCACTCCCCTGAGAGGCATTAACTTTAAAAAGTAAATTAAAATTAAATTAAAAGCTTTAGTTTGTTGCCACCCTACCTTTCTTTTGCAGAATAATCTTTCTGCCAAATTTCATTGTTGACCCTCATTATTAAAAAACAAAACTACTTTGCTGCTTCGAAACAGAACTGTTTGTTTTCCCCACAGGATAACATTGTACAGTGTGTAACATGAGTTAAAAATTCAATAACTGAGGGTTAAGCTGTCTCTTCAATTTTAAAGCAAATGTCTAGTTCTTGTGATTACAAAGACAGTCTTAGAAGAGCACAGGCAATGCTTGGTGAAATCTCACAAATGAGGGAGTCCAAGTAGGATTTTCAAGCAACTGCTTAAGTAGCTTGCAGTTTCCTGCTTGACCCTGACCACCCAAAAACAGACTTATACAAAACATGTTGCTTTCAGGGCATTTTAAAATCAAAGATAGATTTACAAATTAATTTAATCAAATGCAGTGATTTTGCAGCAATAAGATGTTTAAAATCAGCTTAAAAATTCAGTGCATCTCCGTATCTTCTATTTACATCCCCTCTAGTAGGTATGGGGAAGTGCTGGGATTAGGATCTACAATATCTGCCATACAGATCATTTGCTGTGATCCATGGCTAACATTGGAAGGAGGAAAAAGAGTAGTTCTTCCCTCCTCTACTTCCCAAGAGAAAATAGTGCATTTTTCAAAGTCAACAGTTACTTTCCTGAATTTCCAAAGGGACAGTCGTATTAGTTTATTGCAGAAACAACAATGAAAAGTTTTGCAGCACACTGAAAGCTAACAAATTTATTATGACATAACTGGTTGCAGCCTATGGCCTACTTTATCAGTAACAGATGGAGGAAAAATATAGTAAGATATTCTTTAATTTGGACTTCCCAAAGCCATATGTGAACCAAAAGGTAGTTATGTCTTCATTTCCAAACTTCTCAGAATTTAACAAAATCTTAACATTCTTTAATTTGGACTTCCCAAAGCCATATGTGAACCAAAAGGCAGTTACGTCTTCATTTCTAAACTTCTCAGAATTTAACAAAATCTATTAAAGGTGTTACAAAACTATACTCAAATGGGTACACTAAGAAAATAGCATATATCTGGGATAACAGCATTCCCAAACATACGTATGAGGGGAGACGGCTTGCCAAAAATGGATATAGAAAACTGTTCTTTTTTTTGTTCTTTTTTTTGTAGTGTCTGCCAATGTTTTCTTTTTAAACATGCTAACCAATGTGGAAAATGGAACAAACCTGCCAAGTGAGAAACTCTGGAACTGACACCAAAAAGACTAACCCATCCCAGTTAAACACTTTTATTCTAAATTGCTCGAGCTTGGGGTGGGGTGGGGATTGTATTTAATGAGGCTCTTATTCCTTACTTAAATTAACTCTTATGTTTAAACCTTCCGGGAACAGACTGAAAGTTCATTTCCATACAACAGTTCCTGAAGTGTTTTGTTTGTTTGTTTTTAAAGGAAAAAGAAACAAATCTGTTCCAACAGTGTTGCTATACAGGATTTAGAAATTCTGTATTTTAAGTCTGGACAGATGCCTTAGATGTATGCAATTAGTTTAGGAAAATCTATGAGCAACATTAACTGGAACAATCTGAAACTAGAATAAGATGTTTCCTGTTTAAGATAAACAAATGCAAGGGTGAAGCCACCTGCTCAAGTGCCCAATCAGATATAATCCAAGACCAGATCTCCCACTGTTTTTTAAACTTAAAAGCCATGAAAGATGTGTGTATGTGACATCCTGTGACACTACTGATGAGGAAATGAAAGTAACCTCTCACCCACCTGGCTTCCTAATGAAGGCTGCCAAGCAGAAGGCATGGGGATTTCAATGGACTAACAATGGCTCAAATTGTGTTTGCCATAGCAAACTGCACTACAATAGGCCTCTTGAATCAATGGAGATCTGCTGAATCAACTCCTCTGTAAGCTCCATTAATTCACTTAGGTCTACTTCGCTATGACTTACTGTGGCACAGTAAACTGTAGTTAAAGTCTATTTGAATTAATGGAACTTACAGAGCAGGTGAATCACTAAGTCCCCACTGATTAAATAGGCCTACTCTGCTGCAATTTTCTATGCTAAGGAAGAGGATTTGGGCCAGCAAGGATATGTAGAGGGGGCCAGGGGAGACAATTTAACACACCCACAACATCACATCTTTACTAGCCCCAAGGCAGGCATTTATAGAAGCCTACATGGGTGTTTTCACATGGATCAGTTTGAAGCAAATTTGCTGCATCCATACCTTAGGTAGATGGCATAAAGTACCAAAGAAACCTGATTCCACACGTGCCTATATTAAAATATTTTCCATAACATGAAGTGTTCTTTTAAACTTCCAGGATTTAAAAATGAAGCAACTGTTTAATCTAGAAGCTCTCAGCTTGAAACTTATGTGCTATATCCTATATCTTCATTCTCAGGAGTATTCTGAGTGATGAAATAGGAGACAGGAAGTCTTAAATCTACCAATTCAAAGGTATTTTAGCATTTTTTAAAATATGTGTAGGTTCTACAAATCCTCCAAAATTTGTTAAACCACTGAGAGAGCAAACCTCACTGGTTTCTTTTCACAAATTATACCAACATCTTTCCATCCATATACTGTATATTGTTTTCATCATTACTGCCAAAATTTCAAACACAGTAGGCATAATTCATCTATGTCTATTAGAAACATTAAACAAATTAAATTTAAAATTCATAACTTTTGAAATCAGCCATTCCGTATACATCAACTAACAAATTTTAGTATGCTGAAGAGACTGCTGTTTTAAAGGTAAAAGCTTTTGTCTAGAATAGCAGAACAGGAATCAAGTGCAAAAGGGAATCTTAACTTTGTAACTAATGCCATACTTAAGAACCATTCTACTGCTGACATTTTAAACAGCAATATCTTTTAAATTCTTGTGGCTTTAAAATTTTCTTCACTATCTATCATAATGATATTCAGAATTTTTTTTACAAACTTTGAGATATAGATGAAACAGTAAGTTATAGCTTTTACTTTCCTCTAATTCTGGAAGAGCACTGTTTCACCAATTATAACCCAAGAGGAAAGAACATAGGCATCTAAGCCTCCCAAGCAGTTACTGTGAAAAAAAAAGTTAACCATCCAATGAAACAATTTTAAGAACAGTGTGCAATCTTACCTGTTATGTGTGTGTGTGTTTTGTTTTGCAACTCACTCTAAAAAAATGGAAGCACACTAATACCGGTAGTCACCTACAGTATACAACTAAAAAATGAACGGAACATAAAACAACCAGAAAACCTGAATAAAGGATATTTGTTTTGTTCAAGAACCAAATTATGAATAAAGAGTGGTCTGATCAAAAATTTAGTAAGAATCGACTCTAAGTAGAGAACGGCAACAAGAATGTGATACTGCACAGCAGCAGGAGGCTGATGTCTGAGATACTAAACACGGACAGATGCAATATGTAATAATAAAAAGTGACTCTGAAGTATTTAAGAAGGTTGTGAAAAGTGAGGAAAAATAAGATGTTTCAGCCACAGTATGGAAATAAGTTTTTAAAATGAATTTCAAAAAGTAAGAATGAATTTATTTAAAAATGTGAACTGCAATCCTGTAAATGTGTTTCAGAAATATACATCAACCCTCTGTGGCCATGGACAAGAGGAAAAAAGCAGAACTGTGCAAGGACTAACTACATATCAATCAGCAATTAAGATAGATCAGAAGGAATGCTGATTCTACCCTCTGAATAATTGCAAAATTAAAAGAAAATAACTAACCCAAACTAAGTTAAGAGACCATACAGATGCACAATACTGACTAGATGATAACTGACCTAGTGTTAAGCCAATGAGTGAAACAATGTATTAATGTAAGTCTTGTATTCATGTATTTGCTAATGACGCCTTTAAAACACACCAAATGTCTTTTCTATTTAAAACTTTCTGAGACCTTTGTGCAAGTAATCAGAACACAGAAACCGAGGCAAGAAACAAGCAACAGGGTCTACAAAGTAAAGAAAAATAAGCATCTGATGCTTAACTCACCTTATTAGAATGAACAGGCAAATCACAGATAGAGCACAGATGGGGATAGCCTTTCGGTAAGAGTCCATGGAAGTCTTCAATATTGCTATCTGGAGGAGCACCTCTTTTTTTCTCAAAGAGAGATCTCTCAGGACCACGACCCATTCTGTCATAGTCACTGTCAAATTTACGATACTTATGCGAAGTTTCACCATAATAAGAGTCATCCCTACCACTTTCTCCATCTCTTAATCTGTCATCTTCGTAATCCATTCTGTCATAATAACCAGATTCTTGAGAACGACTTCCATGATCATAGTCAACCACTCGGCTGAGACTAGAACCACGATCGTCAAAACTATCTCTTCTAAAATGCCTTTTCTCTTCCCAATCATCCCTAGGAACTCTGTATGGTGGCTCCCGTGCAGCTGATCTGCCATCTCTACCATAACTCAGTGAAGGGCCTTCTTCAGCTCTCCTCCTTTTAAGTTGCAGAAGTATTTGAGGCAAGTTTTCAGGAGTGATCTTGTCCTCAGGATAGCGACTCAGTTCATCTAAGTCTCTAGCAGACAGACCAAAGCTGGCCAGAATGTTAGTGGCCTGCTCTGCATCTCCACGGTGCTGAGAGGACAGAGAGAGTGGGCCTCTATTTCCAAGGTTAAATAGAGACTGTAACGCATGGGAAGATGCACTAGCAGAAGACAGGGCACTATGAGATCCTTGTTGATTCAATGAAGAACTCATTCCAAGATTCATTAAGCTAGCAAGGCGTGCAGTACCCTGGTTCATCCTTCCAAGAGATGCTGGTACACTTAAAGACTGGGTAGCAGCAGCAGCAGCAAGAAGGCCTATTCCTGCAGAAAGGTCACGTCCATGACCTTGGGAATCCCTATTTAGAGATGACTGGTGGAATGGCTTGGACATTGCTGCACTACTGCTTGTCTACTATGGATCAAACGTTAGAGATGTCTGAAAGGAAAGCTCACTCTAGAAAGCTAGGTAAACTTCACTTCAAAAAGGTAACGCCAAGAAAAGGGATCAATAATGACTGTAGATCTTCTTCAAGCTGAGAAACACCAGTCAAGTCTGTAGAAAAACAAGCAATTTTAGTCATAAAACCCTTTATGCAGATGCAGTTTTAAAATGTATGCATCATGTTGATCTAAAAGTAATTTAAGACCATACATGGTTTTCAATATGTAGCTTCAACAGAATGAGGATGCACCCAAGACTATTACATATAACTTTATGATAAAATAAAGTTCTCACCAACAGTAAGGCACAAATTAACATTTATAAATGTGCACTTTTGTTTTGATGATAAATGGTGCTCAAGTACTAGATGTCTAGAATGGTCTAATTGTAAGCTTTCTTATTTAAACTGTAAGATGCATACATCTTATGTTACTGCTCTATATTCAAGAGGAATAAAGGCCTTAATATACAAGTGTGGAACCAAGAAATGTAACTCACATTCTTTGAAAATTAAAGAGTACACCACTATAGAAAAAGAGAAGAAACTTAAGATTAGCTGATATCTGGACAAGTATCTAAGGAACACGATCCAGTATTATTTACTCAGTAAAACTGAACTAGTAGAAAGAGCTTGATAAAGAAAATATGTTCAAGTTTGGTAGAAGCACACAAGACCTCTTGTTTGTGTAACAGTTTATATGTTGTTAGCATTACATATGAACTGTATCCAGATATTTTAATGCTACACCGTAAGACATGGGATGTTGACTGTGCTGTAATTTCTCAAACCAACCAAGACCAAATCCTGTCATACTTGAACACAGTTTTGGTTGAAGAAGAGAAAATGTATCCCAGTTAAACTGTTCAATGACATATGCTATCTTGCGGATGAAATCATGACATCAAGCTATTCCTGCAGGTGTTTATAATCCTCATGACACACTCGCAGGCCCATTCTCTTAATGAGACTTCTAATGTTACAATGCTTATCTGTCTACTTTTTCTACACCAAAAGTAAACATCAAATGGCTCACTCACCTCTACTAAGAGATTATATAAAAAGTGAACAGTTTGTGAAAGTATTCTAAAGTACAAAAAGTACAAGTATTGTCAAATCCTAAGGAACACCTGAGGTCTAGATTACTTCTGAGAATCCTACTAATTTCATGTTTACAGAACCCACCCATCTATAAATGAACACTTTACAGGTGGGTCAGAAGCTGTGGTAAACCACTCCGTAATTCAACAGGAATATACTCCATATCCAGTTTTCCAATGGGCAGAAGACTACAAACCTGCAGGCACATTTTCTGTTATGCTGTTTTAAAATGACATATCCTGCTTCACTGTTAAATGAAAGTGTTGAAGTCTGTACAGTATTTGTGTTTCAAAGAGATTAACACAAAGGCCATTTAAGCACACAGCTCCTGAACACTGTTTTCCTAAGTTCCTGCTTTCCTTAGCCAATTAGCAAGTAAACAGTTCTGTCACTATTATAATTAAATAATGTTTTACTGTAACATTCTGTTGTATTTTCTCTCCAGATTAAATGGAGTGAGAAACAAACTGAAAAGCGCTGATGCAAGTGTAGAACTGGAAGAATAGTTCAGATACTGCAAGTGCAGAGCAGATGTCAATGGAAGTAGAAGAGAAAGAAAGAAAGAAAATGTCAAGTGACAAAACATATCATTCATGACACTGATTGACTGAGGATTTTCTGAATAAAATATCATTCTAACAGGTCTACATACGGTGCTGGCAATCAAAAGTTTATCAACACTGCACAGTGCTTTGTAGCAAGATGTTTTTGTTAGCTAGAAGGCAAAACTGTTTTCTAAGCTACCACTTGCTTAGGGCAAACAAATTCCTCCCACATTAGCAGCTGCCACCACAGAACAGCAGCAGATTAGTCTAACCTTTTGAAAACTGGTACAGAATCCAGTCACTTTTCAGAGTAGGTGTGGTTTATATAGCCAGGGCTTTCACAATAGAAGTAAAGTAAGTGCCCAGCTTTCCTGTTCACTTATCTGCAAGAGCAGAGATGCACTGAGAAGTTTGATATTTTAGAGTTCACAACCTTTGTTTAATTGAAGGCTCCCCACTTGGCCTCAGAACTACTTACTGGCAAAAGCTAATACATTTTACCATAATGCATAAAGCAGTTTCTGTTTAACAAACAGAGTGAAGGCATACAGAGGACACTGGATCATATTGTTTTGCATATCTCTGTTAATGTATATGGGCTCACTAAGGTTGTACAACAGTGATGCTTAGATGCCCTGTTACTGCAGCAGTTCTTGGGCAATGTTTTAGGTAGAATCTTGACAATGGAAGCAGATGTCCAGACAGAATATAGCAAGTATGGACTCAGATAAAGCCCAGAGTAGAGCAGATGGAAGAAAAAAGTCAAAAGTTCTTTTTCAGTAAATCAGAAACAGGTTCTAGTCTAGGCATAGGCTACAATGGTAACCTTTGTAGTCCTACTACTTCATTTATTTCGCAGTGAACAAGTAGTGATGTAGGGGGTGACGAAGACAGGAATGAAAAACTTTAGCTGTAAAGCTGTGGCATAAATGGTTATTTTATTGTTAAAGGTCTGAGTCTGAACCAATTAGCAAGATAACATATGTTTCAGCAAGCTGTTTTTTCTATCTGTTCCCTCTCTTTTTCTGGGGTGTGCATGTCTGCCATTCTAAAGTTATCTCAAAAAAGAAAAACCTACCAGATGCTTTTCCTTTACTTTCTGGTATTGCAATTCTAGATCGATTAGTTACGGTTTTCAATGTTTCAAAACAAAGAACATTAATCTGCTTTCTGAAAAGTTATTAAATCCACATACACATGGGAAGACTTATTTGCAAGGCTGGTTATTTTCCTGACAAAAAGCAGAATTTTACATTTTAGATTTTAGTCAGCTGCTGAAAGCTTGGGACAATGTAAGACCCAGGAGCATCTGAAGAGTACCTCCTGACAGAGTTGGGCTGACCAGCAGATGGTTTCAACTGAATAGCCTGGTTTCCACACAAGCTGCAACTGGCCAATTTATTATGAAATCGATGTAAACCTACAAAGAAAAAGCAGATTATCAGAAAAACAAAACAAAAACAAAACACTAGAAAAGGGCAAGCAGAAATTGGGGTTGGGAAGGGGGAAAGAGGACAATAAGAACAATACCCCATATCAATTGGGACAATTTTATTCATTGTGAAATAATTATATGTAAAAACTAACAACAAAGGTAAAAGCTAGAAAGATACGTTTTCAATACCTTCTTCTTAAATTGCTGGTATATGATCTAGCATCGTGAAAACTGAACAGAAAATTCAAGAGAAGGAAAGAAAAGAAATTGGTAAACTTACACCAGCAAGCAACCATAAACCAACTTTTCAAATTCCTAATGCCATTGAAAAGAAACTCCATTTATGTTTTTCACCAATGCTGTATGAATGTGAATCATAATACTTGAAACTACTAAAGTTTTGAATTGAGCCACACTTTTTATTAATACAGAGTAAAGTGATGCAAGCAACTGCAAAAGATGCTCTTTTTTGTTACAAGAGACCTATGTTTTTAATGATTTTTCTATGGTCAGACATAAGTCATTAGGATGGTGGGGTATCAAGGCATGCTGGCATGGCGTCAAGCAAAGAATCTGAGCAAGAAACAGCATGTCAAATTCCCTTGAAGATGAATGAAACTGTTGACTGACAGAATTTAAGAATTCTTTCAGACAGTTTCTCAATGGAGCCATATGGTACTTAAAACCCAGATCTTCCATCTGACATCCAACAGACACTCATGGACTAACCACCAACAGACACTAACAAGAATGTAGAGAAACAGATCTTCTATCCACAAACAATGACTCTTGTCCTGCCACTAGGAGACTTCTGGAAATGTGGCTGAGAACAGAAAACATCTTAAAAGACATTTCCCTAACACCTAAAGGAGATACAGTATATTACCTAAATCCATATTCACTTGCTTGTTCTTAACTTAAAGAGCAGAGCCAACCACATAGTGGAAACACTAACTTAGTTCACAAAACAGCACAATCTAGGAGAATAGCACAGCACATAATTATGGGAAGATACAGTATGACTTGAAGCAAAGAGCACAGAATTGATATTTCCTTTAATGAATAGCTTATGTTTATGCACAAAATGCTCCCCAAACAACTGCCAGATCTAAATATGTCAGTCTTAGGAATGTTGTTTGGATTATGTATTCCTTAGGTAAATATAAAATTAAAATTTAAAATCACTGATCTACTGACGCTGTATTCTATATGTGTAATACCTGTGTGTAGGAAATGTAAAATATTCTTACAATAAAACCTTTTAAAAGTACTAACTAAAAACCTAGTTCTGCAGAATCCAAATTGAACATTCCAAAACTGAATTAGGATTGGATGCAATCACTAAGAATTCAACTAGTAACCTTAAGTAAATGATTCTACTCCAGTTTCAATAGGAACTAAATATTTCATAAAGCACACTAAGAGTTTAATATACATGCTCCTACCACCTTTCAGACCATTCATAAGATAAACATAAGAAAACTTTTGAACTCTCATCCCTTAAAGGTCATATTTCATAATTTTTTAATCCAAAAGACTAGCAAGATCAACAACAGTGTATCTATTCATTCATACTTTCCTATAGGGGGAAGAGGGCATCCTAAGCCAAGGTGCCAGCCAAAGGTATTGTTTCCTCTAGTTATGGAATTACTAGCAAATAGTATTAGGAATGATGTTATATAAAGGGATAAAGGCTTAAGAATAAAACTGAGATTAGCTTATTTGCTAATGACACCTTACTAACAACAGAGGATCCACTTAAGGTTATGGATAGAGTTAAAATACATTTGGAACAATTTGGGGGGGATATTGGGTTTAGAGATAAACTGGGATAAATCAGAAATGATGTTGTTTACAGTGGGGTCTTGACTTAAGAACGGCTTGAGTTAAGAACATTTCGACTTAAGAACCACTCTCACAGGAAAATATTGACTTGACTTAAGTACTTAGATTTGAGTTAAGAACTGAAAAAAACTCACGTGGGAGGCAGGGAAAGTGCAAAATGTGAACTTTCAGTTAACTGTTGGCCAGTGAAAAGGGTGCCTGTCTGCTTCCTCACTCCTCCCAGCGTTTAGAGAGTGGATTGGGAGACAGTCTTCAGACTGCCTGGTACTGTACTGCCTGGACTGTCTTTTCCCTGCCTTCCCTGAACCTTTCTTGACTTAAGAAAAAAAGAAACAAAATATCCCCTCTAGTGGTAGAAGGCGGAATAGCAGCTTCCCATTAGTTTCTATGGACGGAAAAGAGCAGATACGGATCAAATGGTTTTCAATGCATTCCTATGGGAAATGAGATTTGACCTGCGAACTTTTTGACTTGAGAACCGCCTTCCAATACGGATTAAGTTCTCAAGTCAAGACCCCACTGTAATTGTATTAAAGAGGAAGCGAAGAGGATTAGGAATAAATTTAAAGTTAATATATACAGTACTGTAAAGTATTTAGATATAAATATTACAAGAAATCTAGAGTTTACAAAGGAAATTTTGATAAACTGAAATATGTAATTAAGGAGAAACTGAATAAATATGAAATATTGGATTATTACAGTTTGGTATAATAGCATTCATTTTAAAAGAAAAATTTATCTAAGATTATTTTTTATTTATGATGTCACCAATTAGTATACTGTAACAGAAAAAGAACTGAAGGAACAGCAAAAATCTGATTGATAAATTTTGTAACGAGTATTAAAAAGTGAAAAACGTTTTTAAAAGATACAAATCACAAAAAATAAGAGGATTCCTAACATAAAATTATATTATGTAGCAAATCAAATGAGGTATATACCACATATATTACAACTCAACAATTTATAATGGGTAAAATTAGAATGTCAACAAGTTGTGTGATCTTTTGTAGATTAAAAAACACCAAGATGAGTATTAACAAAAAAAAAAAAGATAGAAAATCCTATCTTTAAGACTATGATACAGATTTGGAACAAGTACAGGAAGGTATTTATGCTACAAATTTCACCATTATAGCCAGTTACAGAATTCAAGAGAGATTTCCAGAAATTTTGAGAGATAGTTTGGGAAAAACCCTGAAGAATAAGCAAGTTATTAAGTTAAAAGATTGGTTGGAGAAGATAAATAGTAAGAAAATGTAAAGACAGTATTAGAAAGGGAAAAGTTAACTTGGCATTGTTTGATCCAATTAGAACAATAAACTAAAATAGTGATTCCCAATCTTGGGTTCCAGGATGTTCCTGGACTACAACCTCCAGAAATCCTGCCTAGCAGAAAAAGCACTGAAGGCTTGTGGGAGTTTTAGTCCAAGAACATCTGGGAACCCAAAGTTGGGAACCACTGGATGAAAGAATGCATAAAAATTGATAAATGTAGAGATTTCACTAAATTTGAAGAGATGGCAGTACACAAGGAAAAACAAGGGAGTATGTGGATGAGAGAGATAACAAGTATATTTTATAAGGTATAAGCAGTGGAGGATCAATATGATACTCTTAATGTGTCATGGAAAACAGATTTAGGAAGGGATGTAAGTAATGAAAATGTATGAGATAAGAGAATATTAAAATACATGTCAGTAAGAATAAAAGAAGTTTTTAATAAATTAATGCATAAACTGTATTTAACATCAGTCAAACTGAATTGTATGAATAATGAATATTCTAATATATGTTGAGGGTGTGGCAAGGATCCAGGTACTTATTTCCATGTGTGGTAGAAATGTAAAAACAATGAAATTTTGGAGACTGGTTTTTAGAGAAATTAATGAAACACTGAAGTGAACTCTAAAAATAAACCTTAGAATAGCACTTTGGTCAATATCTGATGGAGAACACTGGGAATGGATGATCACAAAATTAATAACAAATTTATTAACAGCTGCAAGATTAATGATAGCAAAGAATTGGAAAGCACAGCATGATTTTCAATTAAGCAACTAACAAAGACATTTCAAATATAGCTAATAATTATAAGTTAACTTACGATATTAAGGTTAACAAGGGGCAATAAATAAGGTTTTCAGTTATATTCAGGGATCTATTATTATTAATGTATTAATAAAAGGGACCTTGTACCTTTGCAAGATTCAATGTAGTTTTGGGAAGGGATTGGGGCTTCCAGAAGGGGAAATTGTATGTCCCCAGTGGTCCTGGTGCAGGGATGCACTTCTTTGTAGTTGCAGAATTGGATTTCGTAGTGTTTATCAAGCTTTATTTTTATACCTAAGCTTGTATTTTTGTACTGTGGAGTAATTTTTGTTTTGTATTGTTTTCGTTACATTATATATATATATAAACTAATAAAGACTACAAGTCAATCAAAATAATTTCCTCAAACTTTTCAATTCATTTATGTATGACACTTTAATATGTGTGCTTGCCTTTTTTCTGATCAAATATTTCTGTTCTAATAATTATGGTTGATGAGACAGTAGGGAATTTTTTTTTTACCTACAATATATGTACTTAAAATATGGTAAAACACATTCTCCTTAATGCACTAAAAACTCTCCAGAGAATTTTCAAACTCAAGTTACTGTTTTGGACTGAGAAACAGGGCTTGTTTTAATTTATTATTGATGCTTTATAATTATGTGCAATAACTGAATTCTATTCAAGTCTTATGCTTCACTATTCTTTGCTCATTTTATTTTAGTGTTTAGTTCTAATATTTACAAATTTATATTATATTTGTTTAGTTTTATTTATTGTGAACTGTTCTGAAATACCTTTGTTTTGATATGAGGCATATACTATATGAGTACCATCAACTGGAGCTGATTCATAATGTTTTGACAATAGCTGACAAATCTGAAGACTAGAATTCAGAGACTACTTTCTAGGAACACAAGAACTTATCTTTAGTTTCTATGCATACTGGGTACTATTTCTACTTCATTAGCATCAGTCTGAGATGAAAACTCAGTCTCAAGCTACTTTTGAGATGCACTGCCGATACTTTCCCTGATACAGGTGTATATGATCTCAGGAGGTTTGGAAGTCATATTATTTCCTCCACTACAGGCTATATCAGACCCAAAAATGGTCATTAAGAATAATTAGGAATCACCTTGACAGGCATTTCCAATTTACACCTCCCCAGTGGATATCACTGGAAGCATCAAGGAACAGAACTAGGCCGTTTTTGGCCAAAATTACAAGTAATAACGAACAATTTTCAATGTTTTAAAAGTTGAGTATGATGGGTGGCTGGCAACACAGACAGCCTCACTTCCATTACTATCTACCCACACTGCACAAGACCAACAATATTCAGGCCTATATTTATTACTTAAATAGTCCTTTGGGAGACAGGTATTTCCAAGCAGGCGATTTTTGTAACACAAAGTAGAAATGGACAACAACAACAAAAAAAATCAAGTGAGCTGTGTTCCCCCCACACACACACACACCTCCACGATACAATCCTTCTGAAGATATGGCACAATTCCCTGCATGAGCCTCGTGGCGCAGTGGTTAAAACGCTGTACTGCAGCTAAAACTGTGCTCACGACCTGGGGTTCAAATCCCAGGTAGCCGGCTCAAGGTTGACTCAGCCTTCTATCCTTCCGAGGTGGGTAAAATGAGTACCCAGCTTGCTGGGGGGGGGGCAATGTGTAGCCTGTATAATTAAATTGTAAACCGCCCGGAAAGTGCTTGTAGTGCTGTGGGGCGGTATATAAGTCCAATAAATAAATAAATAAATGTTATTCAGAAGTAAACCCAGCAAGGCCAAGTGACTGTGGATAAAACTGCAGTCACAAGATGTAAATCACAATCATTCAGTGAGTCGAAAGCAAGATGGCATATGTAGCCTGATGCATCATATCTGAGCTTTCTCCCATGTCATCATGTCCATGTTATATTTAAACAAGTGCTGCAAGCCAACTATAAAAATTTTAACTGATGCACCCTACAACTTTTAACTGATGTAATCATAGATTCAATTTATCTAAGAGTAAATATGTTTCTAAAGCAAAACTACTACTTTAGCTTTAGATGGTATCTTAGCCTTTAAAAAGATACCATCTTTGTTCCTTTAGAACATAAGTTCATATGCACAAACCTAGCCCATGATAGATGTGAGAACACAAATGGTATGTAGTATCTTGTGGCTCTTTTTTAAAACAAAAAAGTGTGTTACTTAATTGAAGCACCTCTTCAAGCAACTGAAGTTATAACCAACAGCCTCTTTGCTACAGCTACTAATGTGGGACATTAGATTTTCCACATTTATAATTTGTTTCCTAAGAGTAATAAAACAGGAACAAACAATGCAACTCAAGCTGTGCAAAAGATGCATTAAATTTGATTTCAATATTGTAACTAACTTTTTTCTTACTAACCTTATCCACAGAGAACCCACATTTATGCACAGAGAACAAATTTTCACACATGGTAAAATTAGTACATTTTCAATGCATTCATTTTTTTCTTTGAAAAATGCATAAATAATCCAGGTGAAATATAAGTCATGAAATATAAGCCTACTTAACATACTTACATGTACTCCAATAAGAAAAATTCCAACAAAAAGCACTTAATCGGTCCGAAATAAAGCCACAACATCACATCTTTATTAGCTCAATACATCTGCTCCAGACTACTGAAAATAACTGTAAAATATTCATGCATCAAGCAAACTTGACACAAACACTAAATAAAATATAACATACCTCCAAACATTTAGGACAAAAGAATATTTGCTGATTTTAAAGTGTCCAGGAAAGTAACCATGTGAGGTCTGTAAAACACTTATTTTCAGTTGTAACAAGTAGGATTGGTTTACACACTTTTCATCGTGTCAGAACCTGCATGTGTGAACAATGGCTGTAGCCTCACTTTTAATAAAGTCTACAGTATTTAGCGCAAACCAACGCCCCCTCCAGGTCTTTGAAGGGAATATAGGATTTCCAGCCGAACTGACCTAGACCTCGCTTCTAACGTGATCAATCTTTGTCGGATACTTTTTAACAAGGCAAAGAATGATTCCGTATGTTCAGATTGTTTGCGTAAACTCTTACCGTTTAAAAACACACACGATATCAAAGTCTGCCAGGACACCCTAACAACGGCTGCCAACAACAAGTTTGTGAAATGTGCCTCAAGCTGTAACAAGACACTCGAAGCTGCCCTTAAAAGTAGTACGTCTTGTTCGAACTGCGTCAATAACAGGCCCTACGGCTTCTTTGCAACAGGACTTCTCGAGGCAAAAGCATCCAACGTAAGTTGAAACCTCCAGGCTTTAGGAGCCAAAACCTATCAGCGAGAAATCCGCGGCCTCCAGAAGAAAAGGAAAGGAACAAAGAGGAACCACGGCGAAGTGCTTCTTGGGCGTCCCAAGCCCGCGCCTGCGCACAACCAACCAACCTCCCTCCCTCTCTCCCAATACGGCGCCATGGGCTGTCTCCTCTCCCGCGAGCCGCACGGCCGCTCCTCAGCACGCTGGGCCGCCGCGACTCTGTTCTTCGCCCGCGCAGGCGCAAAGGGTCTCCTCGGCCATTCTCTCGCCCCTCCCCCGCCCCACCAACGGTCGAGGCCGAACTGCGCGAAGAAAGGAAGGACTCGCGGCCTGTGAGGAATTTAAAGGCTCCGGCTACTTACAGCGTTCCTACCTCAATGCGAAGGGAAAGACGCCTCTTTTTCACTTATTTGCCGTTACCCAATAAACATGAACTAGGACAAGGAACCGGGAAAAGAGAAAGAGAAAGAGAGAAAAAGAGAGAGAAGGGGGGAAAAAAACGCTCCCCACCCACGAAGCTGCGTAGCCGCCGCTCCTCACGCCGCTCGATACTAGACCGCTAATCCACCTTACGCATGCGTCGACGGGCAGGCGGCGGAGAGCTTTCTGCGCATGTGCTTTTAGAGCGAAACGACGCCTCGCCTCTCGTCTTCCACATATCGCGAGAATTGAAGGGCTTGCCTTCTCTTCTCGGCTTGTGTCTGTGTTCTCAACAGGCTTGAAGTTTGACTTTCCTTTTGGGATACTTATGGTTTTACCTAAGGAAACAGGGTTCTCTCGTGATAAGAGTGATCGCTATGCATATCTACCAGAAGCCAGCTGGGATTACAGCTGAATAAAGTTTGTGATGTGTAGTGCTTCACCACTGCACTTGTTTCACAGTTGCTTACTAAGAACTTTTCTCTACAGAGAAACAAGACCAGGATGATACCTTTATTAAGTCACTAAAAATCAGAGAGATTACAAATTTTCATGGGTAAATATCCCACTTCCTCAGGCTGTGCACCATACTGCAGAAAAAATTATAGGTATTGCTGGACAAGAGTCTCAAAAATTCATGGCAGATGTCTGCTGAAACTGATTTACAATTTTTCTGCACTGTGGTGCACAGCCTGAGGAAGAGAGATATTTACTCATGGAAGCTTGTAATTTGTGTGATTTTTTTTAGTGGTTCAGTAAAGGTATTACCATACTCTAGTGCCTCCTCCAGCGCCACAATTCAAAAGCATCAATTCTTTGGCGGTCTGCTTTCTTTATGGTCCAGCTCTCACTTCCATACATCACTACCGGAAAAACCATAGCTTTTACTATGTGGGTGGCAGAAGTGACAAGAGGAGCGTAATCTAGTGAAAATGAACTAAAGTTAAAAAATGGGGAAGGAGCAGATTTCTTGCTGATATTATAAGTATCTTGAGAAACAGATAGGAGAACATCTAGATTGCATTATCAAGATGTCTTTATTAGGGCAACCTGTCTCCCTGAATTCAACATGGATTGCCACTTCCAGAGTTACAGAGAAAACCATGTCATATCCAGTAGTTGTGTAAGACGTTGTTCTTTTTGAATGTGATATGCAGCAAGCCTTTGTTTACTTTTTGCCATGAACTGTGAGCAGTTCCTTGATTGATTGATTGATTGATTGTACTTTCCCCAGTTAAGAGGGATTTGTTGGGGGGGGGGTGGCAGCATAGATGAAATAATGCCCATGGGAATCTTGCCATAGTCCAGTAGTGCTGCTTATACATTTTAAAACTGCAAGCAATGTGGTACTGTATTTGGATATTCAAGACTTTTAGCTCCTGTGAGGTGGAGAGTGCTGTTTAATTCCGCGAAAACCGCTGTTGAACAAAAACGTCATGCGATATTAAAAAACCCATGGAAACACATTAAAACCCAATTAATGCGTTCCTATGGGCTTAAAACTCACCGTCCAGCGAAGATCCTCCATACCACGGCCATTTTCACTGCCTGTGCAGCGAGGAATCTGTCCCAGAAAACAGCGGGTGGCCATGGTTTTTACCCGGCGGCCATTTTGAAACCGCCGATCAGCTGTGCGAAAATCATTGCTTTGCAATGATTGGTTATCGAAGCCGGGAACCAATCATCGCAAAGCGAAATTCGCCCATAGGGAAGATCATTTTGCAATCTCTTTTGCGATCGCAAAAACTTTGTCTTGATGCGATTTTGTCATGAAACGGAGCGCCCGTCTTGCGGGGCACCACTGTAGTTCAACTGGAATGCCATCACCTCCACTGGCCTTGTTGTTAGCCATGCTTTCTAAGGCCCACTTGACTTCACTCTCCAGGATGTCTGGCTCAAGATCAGCAACCACAGTATCTGGGTTGTCTGGGATATCCAGATCTTTCTGGTATAATTCCTCTGTGTATTCTTGCTCCCTCTTCTTGATATCTTCTGCTTCTGTTAGGTCCGTACCATTTTTGTCCTTTATCATGTCCATCTTTGCACAAAATGTTCCTTTAATACAGTGGTGCCTTGCTTAGCGATCGCTCTGTTTAGCGACAAAATTGCTTAGCGACTTTGTTTTTGCAATCACAAAAGCGATAGCTTTGCGATGTTCCCTATGTGGTATTTTCGCTTTGCGATGATCGCTTCCCTGCGATCATTGCAAAGCAACCCTTTTCGCACAGCTGATGGGTGGTTTCAAAATGGCCACCGGGAAAAAAACATGGCCGCCCGTTGTTTTCTGGGACGGATTCCTCGCTTTAGAGGCAGCGAAAATCGCGACACTATGGAGGATCTTCGCTGAACTGTGAGTTTTAAGCCCATAGGAATGCATTGTGTTTTAATGTGTTTCTATGGGCTTTTTAGTTTCGTATTGCGATGTTTTTGTTCTGCAGCGATTTCGCTGGAACGAATTAACATCACTAAGCGAGGCACCACTGTATCTCCGATTTTCTTGAACAGATCTCTGGTTTTTCGTTTTCAATTATTTTCATTTGAGAAGGCCCTCTTGTCTCTCCTTGCTATTCTTTGGAAGTCTGCATTCAATTTTCTGTAACTTTCCCTGTCTCCCTTGCATTTGGTTTCCCTTCTTTTCTGCCATTTGTAAAGCCTCGTTGGACAGCCACTTTGCTTCCTTGCATTTCCTTTTCTTTGGGATGCTTTTTGTTGCTGCCTCCTGTACAATGTTACGAGCCTCCGTCCAAAGTGCTTCAGGCACTCTGTCCACCTAATCTAATTCCTTAAATCTGTTCTTCACTTCCACTGTGTATTCATAAGGGATTTGGTTTAGATTATACCTGAGTAGCCCAGTGGTTTTTCCTACTCTCTTCAGTTTAAGCTGGAATTTTGCTATGAGAAGCTGATGATCAGAGCCACAATCAGCTCCAGGTCTTGTTTTTGCTGACTGTATAGAGCTTCTCCATCTTTGGCTGCAGAGAATATAATCAATCTGATTTCCGTATTGCTCATCTGGTGATTTCCATGTGTAGAGTCGCCTCTTGTGCTGTTGGAAAAGAGTGTTTGTGATGACCAGCTTGTTCTCTTGACAAAACTCTATTAGCCTTTGCCCTGCTTCATTTTGAATTCCAAGACCAGACTTAACTGTTGTTCCTTTTATCTTTTGACTCCCTACTTTAGCATTCCTATAATGAGAAGAACATCTTTCTTTGGTGTCAGTTCTAGAAGGTGTAAATCTTCATAGAATTGGTCAATTCCAGCCTCTTCAACATTGGTGGTTGGTGCATAAACTTGGATTATTGTGATGTTGAAAGGTTTGCCTTGGATTTGTATTGACATCATTCTATCATTTTTGAGATTATATCCAATTACAGCTCTTCCCACTCTTTTGTTGACTATGAGGGCTACTCCATTCCTTCTACGGGATTCTTGCCCACAATAGTAGATATGATAATCATCTGAACTGAATCTGCCCATTCCCATCCATTTTAGTTCACTGGCTTCCAGGATGTCAATGTTTATTCTTGCCATCTCGTGTTTGACCACATCCGGCTTCTCAAGGCTCATAGATCTTACATTCCTGGTTCCTATGCAGTATTTTTCTTTGTAGCATCAGACTTTCCTTTCACTTCCAGGCACGTCCACAGCTGAGCGTCCTTTCAGCTTTGGCCCAACCACTTCATTAGCTCCTCTGCTGTTCCTCAGTAGAATGTTGGATGCCTTCTGACCTGAGGGGCCCATCTTCCAGCGTCATATACTTTAGTCTTTTGTTTCTGTTCATCGAGTATTCTTGGAAGAGATATTGGAGTGGCTTGCCAATTCCTACTCCAGGTGGATTGTGCTGAGTCAGAACTCTCCACTGTTGTCTGTCCATCTTGGGTGTCCCTGCATGGCATAGCCCATAGCTTCTCTGAGTTATTCAAGCCCCTTTACCATGACAAGGCAGCAATCCATGAAGAGGATTCTTCAAAGTAGTGGTGGAATATCCTAACAGCTTGAAATTCAACAAGACTAATGCAGAACACAGATACTACATGAACTCCAATTTCCAGTACTATGCTTCCGCATTTCCTTAAAAGATGTCAGCATAGTAGGAAATTGAATAACAATATTGGAATATACTATAAAGATGTCAAGTAAACCAGTCTAAATCCCCACAATAAAACTGGTTTCAGTAATACTAGGCTACTGTGAAAGGGAGCTCTAACCAATATCATAGTCATGGCCCTTGTGTTGTATAATAAGGGTGTAAATTAATTTACTGACATCAAAGACCAGTGCCAAAGAAATAGTACAGTAGAAAAGAGAATGTGCAATGTACATAATACCATCCACTGCATCCACATAATTTATAAAAGTCATGTTAAATGTGTGCAAAACATAGGAAAAAACGTGTTATCGGACAACTGCAGCAAGCTAGGGCAGCTGCACAAAATGTATTTATTTATTTGTTTGTTTGTTTGTTTGATTTATATCCCACCCATCTGGTATATTCTACCACTCTGTAGTCATTTATTAGTATGAAGAACCTGATTTTCTTTGGAGGGGGGGGAAGAAAACCCAATGAGGTGTTAAGTTCTTCTGATCCTGGGAATTTCTGAAGAACAGAATAGAAATTCTGTGTACTGTATAAGGAAAAGTGTAAAAGAACATGCCCCAGAGCTTCCACTTCTTCATTATTATAGGAATATAAATGATCCTGATAAGGTCCTTTATGGCAGGAGTCCTCAACCCCCAGTCTGCAACCCGGTCCCGGTCCGTGGGCTTCCTTGAAATGGGCCATGGACATGAATCTCTTCCCCCCATCCACGTAGGAAAGCAGAGAACAATAAAGCCCATATGCTCAAGCCTAGAAAGCAAGGTAGGCTTAAGGCCCTAATAGATACTGGAAGGGATCCCATGCCTTCTTTGAGAAGTGAAGCAGGAGTACAGGCTGGAACACATCGCTGGAAATAACGAGGCCAGGGAGAAACGAGGGCAAGACTAATAGTGCCAGGGGAGCAACTTTATCAAGGCAAGGTCAGGGAGCGTGCTCAGGCACCATGCCGCCCTCTCGCAGCCATTGTCTTTACTCATCCTTGACAGCCAATCACGGGCCAATGGGGAGAGGGGACGGAAAAGCGAACCCACACCTCACAGACCCATGATCTTGCCACCAGTGGGTCTTCTGTGGCGGGCATTTGGTTCTGTGGGCTGCAGCAGTCTCCGAAGAGGCACCTCCGAAGAGGGCAGTGGTGGCTGCTGCTGCCGCTCACGCCATGAAGAGAGGAGAGTGAATTTGGGTGGCAGAAGTGACAAGAGGAGCGTAATCTTGTGAACATGAACTAAAATTAAAAATGGGGAAGGAGCGGATTTCTTGCTGGTATTATAAGCATCTTGAGAAACAGATAGGAGAACATCTAGATTGCATTATCAAGATGTCTTTATTAGGGCAACCTGCCTCCCTGAATTCAACATGGATTGCCACTTCCAGAGTTACAGAGAAAACCAGTGTCATATCCAGTAGTTGTGTAAGACGTTGTTCTTTTTGAATTAGATATGCAGCAAACCTTTGTTTACTTTTTGCCATGAACTGTGAGGAGTTCCTTGATTGATTGGTTGGTTGATTGATTGTACTTTCCCCAGTTAAGAGGGATTTTTTGGGGGGTGGCAGCATACAGTAGATGAAATAATGCCCGTGGGAATCTTGCCATAGTCCAGTAGTGCTGCTTATACATTTTAAAACTGCAAGCAATGTGGTACTGTATTTGGATATTCAAGACTTTTAGCTTGTTCCTGTGAGGTAGAGAGTGCTGTTTATATAAGAGTGTATTTCTTTATGTAGGTAGTGTTTTCTTAGTTTGTCTTCTCAGTCCTGATCTAAGCAAATCTGAAATTTATGTCCTTTACCTTAGTAGTGTTGATTACAGCCTAAATCCAACTGGTTAGTCCAATTAGAGTAGACTGGTGGAATCAGTGAGATTTACATGTGTTGGCTTAATCAATCAGTAGATTGGATGAGTCTGGTCTAGTGGAACAAGAAACTTAAGCCTGTGGTTTTAACTAAGATAAATTACAGTAATATGTTTAGCTAATATTCTCAGACAGTATTTTACATATTTATATAGAACTGTAAATCTGTATATACTGAATCCAAATGTGGCTCCATGGGGCATGTTTAGGTATACACATGCACAGGATTGATATTTATGTCACTTAAACTTCTTAGCCAGAAAATGTAAAGTATGCTTACCTTTGGGCTTATGTAGCTACATTGGAATTTACCGTGGAATTATAGCCAGAAAAGTGAGATGGTCTGAAGCAGCTTCCTTAATTAATTAATTAATTAAAAATATTTGGTCTCATCTTTCTCCTTGAAAGGAGCTAAGGCAGCTTACAACATTAAAAGACAAAATTAAGGCTAACCCAAGTGAGCATATAAATACTAAAAAAAGGTCAAACAAATACAGTGGATATAGAAAGTTTACACACCCCTGTGAAAATGTCACGTGTCTGCAGTGTAAAAACTGAGACAAAGATAATTTCAGAACTTTTTCCGCCTTTAATGAGACCTATGAACTGTACAACTCAATTGAACAACAAACTGAAATCTTTTAGGTGGAGGGAAGTGTGGGGGAACGCTTCTCCCCAAGCTCTTGGCTGATTCTACAGTAGTAGAGAAAACTCTCCTGGATGATGTCATAGCTGCTTCTGAGAGGAGGAGCTACTACCCATTCTTCCTCTTTCTCAGAGTGATGGAGAGCTAACTTCAAAGCCTTTCTTTGGGCCAATCCTAATGGCATTATGTAACCATTGTCCTATCTGAACTCTGTCAACTATCTGCATGCTGTCAACTCTCTGTGAGCTTGTAAGGTTAATAAAATAGAGTCCTCCTGGAGGTGTGGCGGTAGTCTTCTACTAGTCACCGATCAGGAGCACTGCTGGCAGACATCCTTGTGTGTGTGGCTGACTTCTTTAAGTTCTCTAAGACTATTTGCTATCCTAATTACTTGGGATCACATAAACTATCAGCCTTCGCATTTTGTGACCGCGAAAGGGAACTTAAATAATATGGCTGCATATGTGTGCACACCCTTAAACTAATACTTTGTTGAAGCACCTTTTGATTTCATTACAGCATTCAGCCTTTTTGGGTTTGAGTCTATCAGTACGGCACATCTTGGCAATATTTGCCCACTCTTCTTTGCCAAAACGCTCCAAATCTGTCAAATTGTAAGGTGTCTCCCGTGCACACCCCTCTTCAAATCACCCCACAGATATTCAATTGGATTAAGGTCTGGGCTCTGGGTGGGTCATTCCAAAAGGTTAATCTTCTTCTGGTGAAGTCATTCCTTGATTTGGATGTATGCTTTGGGTCGTTGTCATGCTGAAAGATGAAGTTCCTCCTCATGTTCAGCTTTCTAGCAGAAGCCTGAAGGTTTTGTGCCAATATTGACTGATATTTGGAACTATTCATAATTCCCTCTAGCTTGACTAAGGTCCCTGTCCCAGCTGAAGAAAAACAGCCTCAAAGCATGATGCTTCCACTACCATGCTTCACTGTAGGTATGGTGTTCTTTTGGTGATGCACAGTGTTGTTTTTGCACCAAACAGATATTTTGGAATTATGGTTGAAAAGTTCAACTTTGGTTTCATCAGACCATAACACTTTTCCCTACATGCTTTTGTGAGGCTTCAGATGTGTTATTG